TGCCTTTTTTTGAATTTTTCAATGTTTTTCATTTTTAAAGCATTTTTTAGCATTCTTCAGTCATTTTAGATTCTGAGTGGAGCGAAGAAACTTATGGTTTAACATAGATGATTATTATAATTTTTTTATACTGTGTACCAAAATTCTAACAGAAATCTTGCTCCGATGTATACGATATAGACGCTTTTCTGAAAGGAAATTTTCATGGGGTGGTACTTTAGGGAATTCATTTTTCGATTTTCTCAAGAGTTTTCTCATCAAATGTGAAAAACCGAACAAAACACGAAAGAAAAACGGGAAAATGTATGAAATGTAATTTTTAGTTAAAAATTATTACGGCTTTCTTTTTAACTTTTTCTACCAGCAATTTTGCTCCGATTTACAATGAGAGCACTTTTTCTAAAAGAAAATATGACTGGGAAGGTATTTTAAAAAAGTTATTTTTCGATTTTCTCAAAAAACATGGAAAAACCGGGAAAATCAATACCATTATAAAAGAAAATATTTAATATTTATTTAATTATTTTACCATAATATGATAAATATATGTATATATTGTTAACAAAGCATCAACTGAACTCCACTCAGAAGCGTTTTTCGTTAGCAATGGTTTATTGTTGCTTACAGATATACATTAAATTTCATTCTGTATCCTACCTTCCCAACTACCCAGTAGCGGATTTCCAACATTTTTCTGGAAGAGGTCCTGAAAAATCATATGTATTTAAAAGGTATCTTTATTAATAGATGCCTCATTTTGGACGACATTTATTGAAATTATATCAGCTTCTGGGGAGGCCAGACCCCATGGTCCCCACTCGTTTATCCGTCATTGCAACTACCTACCTAAAATAGTAGCTGTCCTAGGATAATGGAGACGGCTCCATTAAGCATTTAGCTTTTTAAATTTTTTTTTTTGCACATTTGTACAGTATAAGAGTATGATATTTGTATATAATACGACCATGGATTAAAATATATACTTTTTTAGTATATGGCGTAAACTCGGTATATTTAATTTATGATCTACGATAATTTATTTGTCATTTTTTAATACAATATAATGCTTTTTAATCCGAGCCCTATTCATTTGTAATATGTTTATCTTACTAATATTAAAAATGTAATAGTTTCTGAGGATGTATGGATGGATGTTTGTTACTCTTTCAAGCAAAAATTACTGAACAGATTTTAATGAAACTTTACAGTATTACTATACATCAGGTTCATACATATAGGCTACTAATTTCGTATTCGACTCTTACAGTGGTACTGATAAGGGTTATTAGTAGTATCGGTACAAAAATTGAATTAATTTTGTTGATTTACGGGTTATTTTGGTGATAAAGATGATAATATTTGTCTATTTTTTTTTTTAGCACAGGAAACGCCGGGCAAGACAGCTAATACATATTTTAATATATAAAAAAAACCCGTATTTTTCGCAATAACTTTTATATCCATATAGATGGATAAATAATTAATGTAATAAACTATACTTTTCACATACCTACCTAATATTTAAATATAATTTATGTTTTACATAATACGTTTTGAGTTTACCATTTAAAACGCCCAAAGATTACGAATAGCGGTAGACTTATGCTGTAGTTGACTCTTTTCTAAAGGTTCGTGTCAACTATAGTAATTTTAACGATACAGCCAATACTTCTGAGAATTATAATGTAATTACAGTAAATTATTAACGGATTGATGCATTTATATTTGGGTTTTTCAAGTTAACTCGGCCAAAATCCATCAATTAACAGTAACATAACACAATTATAAATTATAAATTTAGCTAGCGTCCCTAGATAATTTTTTATGCGTACCTATTGTGTTTTATTGCACGCATATTTTTCAAAATCATTTGGTTTTCGTTAATGGTCACGATAATTATATATTAACTATTATTGCCATAGAACAACTGACAAACATTTGAGCGCAATAAAAAAAAATAATAATAATCGATTATAATTAGTATTAAGAACAAAAGTAATTATAATCCCCGTACGGTACAATATGTTTCGTTTGGTCCGTTGTATGATATCACATGTAAGCTATTACTTATATTCAGTTTTTAAACACGTTATCGCACATTTAATTAAAACATAAATATTGTTTTTTAAATTTTAATTTAAACGGTTACACGTTGTTTTGCAGTGATAACAAGTATCGCCGACCGTGATTTATGTATAACGTGATTTTTTACAAAACCCGCGCAAATGACAATGTTAAAACTGTGAATATTTTACGTGTAAATCGTGTAGGTAATTAAAAAGTTTAAGTACACAATACAATGTGATTCCAAGCAACACTAAATATTTTGACCGGATGACCTTGCGTTTGAATTCCTTTTTCTGGGGGTGTTCGGGGGTACTGAAATATACACATTCAGTTTTTAATCGGCTCAAAAATCTTTACTCAAAATAAAAAACTACAAGTTGAGTGTTACGTTCATGAGAGAACGTTGTCAATTCCACAATGAAAGCATGACAAAATATTGTCGTGATTGGAAAATAATAATAAATAATATAGATCTATCACGCAGAATATTTAAATTTTTACGGTCGTAAGAGGTCCAAAAACATATAAACAAAAAACTAACTAATAAAAAATAAAGGTGGCGGTATTGGAAAATCCAAAATCCAAAAAAAAGGGGAGCAGTATTATGTACGTATATTTTTTTACGGCGACGATGAATATTTCAAATACGATTCAATAATATTTAAAACATTAAAACACGATGAAGTTATAAAATTCCAGGTTTTTTTTTTTCCAGATTATATTATTGCGTGCAATTTTAGATTCTGAGTAGTGTGAAGAAGCGTATGGTTTTATAAAGATGTTTATTTTTTTTTTTTCTGTGGATAACTTTTTTACCAAAGAACATGCTCCTATTTGTACGTATAGCACCTTCTCTAAAAGGAAATCGGTGTTCGAAGGTACTGTAAAGTCATTTTTCGACTTTTTCAAGATTTTTCTTATCAAATGCGAAAAGCGAAAAAAAAAACGTTGGAAAACGGGAAAATTTATAAAATATAATTGTATAATACATATTACGATTTTTTTTTTCTGTGGACAAATTTTTCTAAAAGAAAATTTGACTGGGAGGATACTTTAAGAAGGTCATTTTTCGATTTTCTCAAGAGTTTTCTCAACAAATGTGAAAAACCGAGATAAAACATGGAAAAACCGGGAAAAACGTAGGAAAAACGGGAAAATCAAACAGTGGTAAATGTTTTGATGGTGTATTAAACAAATATTATTAAAAATAATATAAAATGCAAATTTAATTATTTTACCATAATATGATATATATATTTTGTTGACAAAGCATCACTATTAACTGAACTCCGCTCAGAATCGTTTTTTTGTAAGCAAAGTTTAATCGTTGCTAACACAGATATACATTAAGTTACCTATAACAGTGACTTTACCCGTCCCCATTATCCTAGAATGTCTTTTTTATTATACATATTTATTGTTAGTGCATAATTTTTTAAAAATCACATTTTGTCTATTTTTAATGTTCACACTTTGATCTGAAGAATACGTCAATCAACGGATCCACGAATGTCTTCCAAATATCAGAAGTGGCTGCATTTAGACATTTTGCATCCCGAGATAAAAATTATTTACTGCCCATATTAAAAGTATTTTATTTGTTTAATTAAAAACACATACTTCAGTGGTTATTTTCCTGCTTGCATTAGAGTATTGTATATTTTTATATTTATATATAACAACACAAATCATTTTTCTCTTTTCTCTATTGATTTGTGCATAACTTTTTTTTTTTTTTATAGTTGTAATTTTTAATGATCATTTCCGTAATCTTTACTCTCTGCCTTCACCACAAGCTTTTGCCTAAAGAAGGTGGACAGTAGACAAAATTTGTAAATTTTGATTTAATAAATAAATTTTAAAAAATCGAATTTAAAATTTCGCAAAATGTATTGTATTATTATTACCGTTACTTTGTCAATTATTAATTGTTATATTATCGTGCCAACTCAATCTGTAGTAGCTATAGCTACCTCCGAAAATTTCCCACCCAGTGCGGTTGCACACTGAGTATGGTCATAACCTAGGCAGTATACTATTTTTAACGTGTCATGACGATGACTATAAACCGAATATTTGTTTCTAAATGTTTTGACCGCGGTAGTTTTTTTTTGTTTATATCGAAAAAGCCTTCATAAAATAATGTGTTAAAAACCAAAAGCCCGTATACATTTCTTCGTAACATTTATCATGGTTATACGCGTTACGACGGTACATTATTATATAATAATGTAATAATATAACAATATTATCACGACAACAATCAAATATTATAACTCGATATTTACATTAATTGAACTGATAAATTGCACTGTTGTCTTAAATAAAGTCTACCGTTCGTACTTTCTAACTACCGTTAGTTTGTTAAGTTTATTAATAATATTGTAAAATCGCACATGGTAATTATATAATTATAATAATAATGATGATGATATATTATAATCACGATACAGTGGGTAAATTCGTGTTTTTTCGATAATTCGTAATGTGCGTAATAGAAATTTGAAATACGTCACGCGGGTTAACAGACGAGCAACGCGTTTCAGCACTTTTAAAAAATTAAAGATATACCCATGGTCACCTCATCACCCCCCCCCCCCCCCCCTCCGATCACACTGCCCCACTGTCCTAGCCGAAACAAATTCCTGACCGCCCGATCCGCGAGGACGGGTAACCCGGTGCTCTTAAATGATGACGTGCCTAACCAGTCACAGCTCGATAATCGTTCGGTAACGCCTCCTCAACGTCCACAGTTATCATTCGGTATTTTTCATACGCACGTCTTCGTCTCGGTATATATTTTATCGTTTCGTCCACCGGTCATCAGTCTACAATTACTCTTCTCTGCGCATCGTTTATACAAATATCGAACAGTTCATTGAAATTTTTACGGTTATAATATTACATCTCGATCGTTGACGTGTGGATACGCAATGTACTCGCCAAAATTCGCATTGGTCATTAGCCTGGTGATTTTCACCGCTCACAGTGTCCAACCATTTGGCGGTAAGTCGTTTACAAACCTATGCGTTATGTAGATTTAGGATACCTATCATATAAAATTATTATTAGTTTACTTTTATTTTTTTTTCACTAGTGTGGCACAACAACACTAGTCACGTTATACTATTGTAGTAGGTATATTATTATTACCTATCAATAAAATGATATCAATGATTTTTTTTTTTTTGTATTTTAAGATTTTAAAACTCAATAATCAAAATAATGCAAGCTCCGATTTTAGATTTTTAAGTTAAAATTGCAAATGTATACAACTATTATTCTCTATGTAAAAAAAAAAATCTTAAAATCGATTTTATTACCGAAAATGGACGCCATAAGATAATTATTTAATTTTTTCCACAATTATCTCGTTTTTCATTTAAGAGAGTAGCTGATCATCTATCATTTTTAATCTACTTCTTTGAAATATCTTGTATAACTTTATGAATCGTTTTCTTTCTATCAACTTAATAATATTATTTTTGAACATATTTTCATCTGCTCGTTAGACATCTGAGCAGAAAAAAAATACAAATAATAATTCTAATAAAAACAATCATTACTTTTAAATATATTATATATAGGATTAAGGACTTCTAGCTTTTGTATTTTATTTTATTATAAAACGATTTTGGTTGAAAAGGGTCAGGTCCATAGTACCTAATACCTATAGTCGAATACACTATCGAAAAATAATTAATTTAGTATTAAACAATATATATTAATGAATATTAAACAATCTGATCAATAACTCTCAAATTATTCATTTCAAATTACAAAGGTTTCATGAAAATTAACATTAATAGTAATAATAATAATAAAAAAATAGCTGACACTGAAGACGAGTGTGTAAGGTAAGAAGTTTGATAGGTAGTATACATAAAGTTAATTAATTTACACGCGCAAGCAACGATGAACGATTGCTAACGAAAAACGATTCAAAGCGAAGTTCGACCATACATGTTTTAAAAGACGAAAATCGTAAATATTACAATTTACAATTTTCGTCAAATTGATACTAAACATTTTTTAAAAAAATACTACATTACACTATTTTTTTTTTTTTTTTACCTCTAAGTACGACTTATAATAAAACTCCTGTTAAGTTTCCAAGCATTTCTTTGTAGTCTAACAATTTTATTCACAAATTAAAAATCGCAGAATTAAAATAGCTCAAAAATGATTCGAATGTTTTGAACTTATTACCATATCTATAAAAGGGTTACATAAAATTTTAAGTCTCAACAAATATTATCAACTGAATTACAACAGGAAAAAAGAAACGAAATAATAAAAACATTATTTTCGTAAATTGTCTCGTTCTTGCTAAATTATCCAAAAAAAAAATATTGAGAAAATCAAAAAATGACCTTCCCAATGCATCAACTAGATAACTCAACTTTTATTTTCTATAAAGGTGCTAAACTTGATACATCGGAGTGAGATTTCTAAAAAGTTGTCCACAGATACAAAAAAAAAAAACACGTCGTAGTAAAACCAATAGATCTCTCATCTCTTGCTACGCTCTAAATCTAAAATAAATAAATGAATAAATAAGTTACAAGTCAAGGTTTTAGCATACAATTTTAATAAAAATAATTGTAAAAATAATTTTTAAAAACATAATTTAATTAGAATATATTTTAGTGCATATGATTAGGTTGTTTTTTTAAAACATACATATATGCAAAAAGGCATGATTTTTAAAGCTATAAGTCCTAAATTTAATTATACTCAAGGTCCAAGCTGTCCTCGGAATCTAAATTATGACAAATTCTGGGTTTAATTAATTTATGCTATGATAAAAAAAAAATGATCAATTAAAGTTAAAAAGTTAATTCGATTTTTAAATTAATTATCACTTAACTTTTAATAATTAAAATTGAATGTGTTAACTCATTTTTAATTTTATGAATTAATATTATTCGATAACTTGCACTCTCTTGATTATAATATACTTAGTAGGTAGTCACTAGTTACCTAATAAATTAATGTAGTAAAAAGAGTATGCAAAACCAAAATGTAAACATTTTTTAAATTCACAGTGAAAAAATTGTTTTCAAAATAATCTCAAATTTCCTAGGTTACAAAATATATTGTCTAATTATAATATTTCAGAGTTAATATGGTAGTAAAATTGCTTGTAAACCTAACATATATATTTATTATCTTTCAAATTTAACTCTATTCTTCTTGACTTTATGAAGTGGCTTCGGTGTGCTTATTCATATACTTATTAGTAAAGACCGGATTTTGCATATTTATTTAATGTGAAAAAAATTAATTTAACTTTTGAATTGCATTGTTTTACTGCGTTTGTACAATATATTTGCAGTATTCCAAGCTAAGTTGAAATCAGATATAAAGGTTTTAAGTTTTTGTTGACTAAAGCGCTGGTATTCAGAAGTAAAAATTGTTCGCCGCCCTCCCTCCACGGAATTGACCCGAAGACGTCCCTAAGCAATACTATTAACCGAGCTCAGCTTAGAATCTTTTTTTGTTGGTATTACTTAAATTTGATTAGGTACAGATGTACATTGAATTTCTCTGGATATCTTACCTTCTCAACTTCTCATCTCTAACAATGGTTTACCTATTGTACGAAGTATATCGGTCGTTTTTTCTTTTCAATCGTTCGATCGTTAATATTAAATTTAATTATTTCGCCACACCCCTCCCCCCTATAGTCAAGGTCTGGAGATATCCCTGGATACCATTGTACAATTGACGAACAATGTAGCCCCGCGATTTAAATCAATTGTTTACAGCTGATGATGATTATAACTGATGACACGATTAAAGTTTTGATTGCTGATAATGAAAATTGTTGTCAATTATTTATTTATATAGTAATATACCAATTGTCGTAGCAACGCATGTTTACACAGAACAGACAAATGTCACGGTAATGTCTCTAAAAACTCGAACATTGTGTCGCGGAAATGTTTCCATTATGTCGTAGATTTGCTGGAAATTAAAATGTTGTTATTTGTCAGCCTAATGTAAACCTAGCATTATATTTATAAGTTTTAATCTAATCCCATATCTAAATGGTGGCGGACGTTTATTTAGAAAATAAGCACTATAATTTAACGAATGTGCCCCGGCCATAAAGAATATATGTACGTATACCTAACACAGAATAATTGTATGGTTAATTTAAATTCAACATTTGATATTCGGTACCATTTGAATTTTCGGTAGGTGAATGTATTTATGAAGTACCGTGTAAGACCTTTTTTAAGGTGGTTCGGCGTTTCTGATAGGTTTTAAAAAAATGTTGAATACCTACACTACAAAAAATCTGCACACATCTATAGTATGTCATAAATAATATTATTATAATTCGATAATTCGATTCATGTTTGTAGGCTTGGGCGTGATTACTAAATCGCATGTCCAGTTCTTTAATGGACATGAAATCCAAAAGACGATTCCTATTCACTGGGAAAATATTAATACGATAGCCAAATTGGACCCCGAAACAAGACATGTATATAAAAATGAAAAACCGAACCCGCCGGTTGATATAAAGGACCTTAATGATGGAATATCCCATGAAGAAAATACTAAAAAACAACCGACCATTGCAAAAAAAAACAGTGACGTAAATTGGGACCATCATAATATGGTAGCTACATACGACCCCGTTGAAAAACAAATATATTTTAGTGGACAGCAGATGAATCAGAAAAATGCAAGTATATACCGGCTTAAGCAAACTGGAAACCCAGAACATCCCCATTTGGAAATCGTCGTCTCAGGTAATTCGTATTTTGGCTATAAATCAAACGTTTTTAGAACATTTTACAAACGACTCCCGGACAACCTATACTAAATAAAATGACAAAAATATATACACTATTATGCAGGTCGGTTTATATTTTCTTATTTTGGTTTTCTCAGAACAAAATGAAAGTGTTTCGGGTATGACTTTTAATGACCACACGAACACATTGTACTGGACCTCCGGTAACACCATCAAACACACAAAGGTCGTACAACCCATGATCATGTATCCATCTAATGGAACCGTTTTGATGAGATTAGAAGAATCTATTCCTGGCGAAATACAAGTTGACAAATGTAGAGGGTGAGTAACAATTATAAACAGATTATGGCTGTGTATCTCATTAGTTTGGCTTGATGATGATTGATGAACGATAATTTTACGTGGTGCAAAAATATGTCAACCGGTATTTGCGATGATTCGGTACCTACTCTTACTTAATTATAGTAAATCGATAAAAAAAAATGTGCGAAATTAAAATTCCGTACGTATTAAAGTACTTACTATTTTTCTATGAATATGAACATTATTTCTTATAAATATAATTGAGATTATTAAGAAGATAATAATTAAGAAGATATTTTATTAATCATTATTAACCATATAAAACTTCAGTCAAGTTATAATGCTATACAAGTCACTGATTTTGTCCAATATATTCGTTTAATGTATATTATAATTATAAGGTTCGGGTCTTATAGCACTTAAAATTAACAATCAAGCACTTAAAAAACTCTTGAAAGCCTTCATGACTTTCTAAAGCTCAAAAAGGACTGGAAGTGAGGAAATAAGCACCTACAAATATTTTAATGTAAAAAAAATTAGACACACATTTTTTTTTTAAATAATCCAAATAACAATAGAAATAGCTGATACTGGGGACTAATAATACTACATTACACTCAATTTTTTTTTGACAATTAAGTAGAACTTATGATGAACCTTCTGTCAAATTTTCAATCATTTCTGTTTAGTTTAACAATTTTTTTTCACAGAATTATCTACTAAATAAAAATTACGCAAAAAAAACTCGTAAAATTAAAACGTCTATAAAAAAAAATCATCTCAAAAATAGCTTAAATTTTTTGAACATTTTCCAATTTTTTTTTTTTTTTTTGTTTTCTTTTTCAATTTTACCTAACTATTAAGAAAACTACATGGAAAATCAAAAACAGACTCTTCCGCACTAACAAAACAATATTTTCTTTCAAAACACATTCTCTTGAAATTTTAAGAAGATTTTTGGAAGAAAACAAAATATTTAAAATAATGAAATCTTTAACGCTGTAGCACCGTAAATATATTTTTGTTTTTCTTTAAGAGTTTCCCAATTATTATGAATATCACTTGGAAAGTTAAAAAAGTCTCCCCCAATGAACTATAGATCTATAAAAGGTCGTATGACATTTGTCGATCGAAGCAAGATTTTCGATAGAAAATATAGAACTGATCACAGACCGAACTCACACAGTAAAACAAATACTAAATTGGATCGCTACGCTTCAGTAGTGACACCAGAGTTGTGCCGTGGCCAACCCTAAAATCTCCCCGATCACAGTTGGTCCACCAAGTATAATTTCTTTGTATTTTTGTTTTGTGTCACAGCATATTTTAAAATATATATAAATACGTATAAAATGTAGAAATCAATTATAGTATGTTTAAATGTAAGTAATTTAAAATTAAGCTAAAATCATATAACCTATCTTGATTTTTTCCGAAATTAAGAGAACAGCCAAAAAAAATAGTGGATACTACTAAAATAATGAAAAAAAGTCCTACTTACTTACGAACTATATCCAAAATGCAACAAAAAAAGTATCTTGTAATTTTTCGTTTTGGAGCAAGATCTAGATGAAAAGTTGTTTATACTCACAAAAAAAAAAAAAACAACAACATATCATAGTAAAACTTATAGATCCCTCGTTACGATCAGAATCTAAAACGAATCAATAACGTTTTATGAATAATGTAATATGCAAACTATATTATGAACAATTGATGTAGATATAATAATTGTATTTTTAGATTTCTTATTGAAAATTTCATAATTTAAGTATATAAATACACGAAAGTAACTCTTTTTTTTGCTAACGTATCATTTTAACCATTTGATAGTCGATCAAATAATTATTGTTTAATAATAATTAATAATAATTATTCTCGTTACGTTACTGCCCTCCTCCAACTCGGTACAACCAAATAAACAATCCTGGCACCGCCTAACCTAACCCAACCCTACACTCAGAATCTAATAACACTTTCAAATTTCATTTTTAAATTCGTTGTAACATACATAAATTTCCATTATACTCTTCTAAATTCCATGTGAAACCAACAAAATAAACAAATGCTATAAGTCCCGAACCCAGATTATAATAAATATACGATCTCTCGGTTAGAATAGAAATAATTATAACGGCTATTGTAATCGTTACAATAGAAGTTGCATTAAAATCGTAAATTGATGAACAATAATAATATACCTTTTACTTTTGACTCCTCCCCCAGGTATTTGTATTACACCAACTGGCTGAGAAGTGGCTTAGGTAGGACTTCCACCATCGAGCGAACGCGATTGGACGGTTCCCACCGGGAAATATTGTTTAACTTCGAAGGGTTGGTGTTGCTCGCCTTAACGGTCGATTCTGCGGATAATCGGTTATACTGGGCCGTATTGGACCCATCAAAGAGGCGCAACGCCTTCAGCGTGGAGAGCAGTGATCTCGATGGTGGTTCCAGGAAAATGGTGATTGGTGAACTGGATCACTTACCGCGTGGCATCGTTCTGGACGGAAACCTCGTATACTGGTTCGATACCCGGAGCAAAAGTCTGTGGAAAACGCCCAAGAACGGTAGCGAGTTCCCGACCAAGGTCATCAAATTCAACGATAACAATAACCTGCCAACAAGAATTATGACGGCCAACTCTTGCAGTCATAATTGCGCCAAAGTACAAAAAAAACAGCACTCTAAGGCCGACGAATATATCAAAAGTATTGTAGGACATTATCCATCGGAGACTATTAGTATTGTGGATTTATCTTAATCTTCATACGGGATTATAGGCTAGGTTAGGTTATTTAATCTAACTAACCCATTTTCCAGGACCGCAGATGAAACAAAACGCATGAAACATCCGTCAACATGTTAATTTTTTTTTTCTTAATACTCAAACTTTTAGAGCTTAATTTTTAATTAAACCTTATTGTTTTTTTTTTTTTATTGCAGTCCCATACAACTTTGTAAACTTATATTATGGTGAAATTATCTTTTTCAAATAGATTATATATGGCTGGGCTTTAATTACAATTATATACATATTATTATTGACACTATATTTTTCTTAATTCAATTTAATCCAGCATCATTATAATATGATTATATTTTATCACCGTGGATTATTTTAACAACATTTTTGTTTTAATTTAATTTATGTTGAAGATTTGTTCGACCATGAGCTATGGCTAAATGTTTTATTACGCCTATTCGTTTAAATAAAATATGGTTTTCCTTTATAAATATTCAAATTTTGTTTATACAAGATCATCCAAAAACATGTGTACGAACATACGGTTAGCACTGGAAAGTCTTAATTCGTTTCTGTTGATTCCCATTAGTAATAGATATCTGAATATAGCAGTGCTTCCATATTGTTTGTTCGTTTCGTTACATCTGTTTACACTTATGTGCTTTTTAATAATTGATTATACAGATATTATAAATGGGAATATTGGTTTTAATACACAGTATTTTGAAATAATTACATTTTAAAATTATAATACACCTATTTTTTACAATATTTTAAGTTATCTGTGTTTTGAATATTTTATTTAAATTTTATTATTAGTTATAATATAAACCATGGGTTGTAAACTTGTATTTCTTAAACAAAAACTATAGAGATTAGTAATTTTATAAAAGAGTCCTATACTGCTAATGAGTAGGTCACTATTATACGTGGTAGATAAAAAAGGCAGGAAATTTATGTATAGGGTAATTTAATATATAAACTGTATGCAACAAAAAATCGTTGCAAACTAAAAAGGATTTTGGGTAAAGCTTTGTTAAATAGTTTTTGCTTAACTTAAATTGCGAATTATGTATTATATAACCTATTAACTTTTAACAACCAACAAAATAGTTAACAACTTTGCGTGATTTTTACGATTTTTTTCAAAATTTCAATTTCAAAAAGTGTGTAAAAAAAGCTGTCATAGGATAATGGGGACGGGTGCAGCTAATGTTGTAGGTTGAAACTTGGGAAGGTAGGATACAGAAGGGTATTTAATGTGTATCTGTAAGCAACGATAAGCCATTGCTAACGAAAAAACGATTCTGAACGGAGTTCAGTTAATAGTGATGCTTTGTCAACAATATATATGTCATATTATGGTAAAATAATTAAATAGGCATTATTTATTTTCTTTAATAATATTTATGTATTATTGGACCGATTTTTCCGTTTTTCCTGATTTTCCTATGTTTTCCCCGGTTTTTCACATTTGCTTAGAAAATTCTTGAAAAATCAAAAAATGATCTCCTTAAAGTACTTCCCCACACCGATTTTCTATCAGAAAAAGTGATATACACATAAAAATCGGAGCAAGATTTCTGGCAGAAAAGTTGTAAAAAAAAATAAAAATATAAAAATATACATCTTTGTAAAACCATAAGCTTCTTCGTTCCACTCAGAATCTGAAAAAATGTGTGTTGTTGTGCTAAACTCGTTTTATGGAATATAATTTTTAATTTATTTATGTATCGAATTTTTGAGTACTTATGCACTCGTATGCGTAGTTGAAAATTACATCACGAGTAGCAAATGGTGCAAGTAAATATTGTGTTTATATTTCCATTACTAATTATAGAATAACAAAAACAAAATCGATTTAACAAAAACTAACGTTGTGTAAATAAACAGATTATTTGTCAACGTTTTTTCAGATTTTCCTCTGAACAATTCTAAAAAAAAAATTATTTATTTTATTTTTTTTTTTTTTTGCCTTTTTTTTTATTATTATTATTTGTGTTAATTGCGTGAAAATTTAATTATTAATTTACAATCGTTTCCGATGTTTCCAAAAAGTACATCTAGTGTCTCCTGACGTACAATGAAATATCGAAATATGACAATTTACATAACTCTTATATGTATTTTCAGGATATCGTTTTCGTCGTAATGTTAATGAAACAGAGGACAATACTGATTTACCAATCGATACCGTCTACGAAGAATCATTTTTCGATTTTGGTCTTGATCAATTAGATAATGAAATGGACATTATGGTGGATAATATGATACAAAATGTTAAAGATATCACAAACGATATTAAAAATTCGACAACAAATGGAAATACAACTATATATATAATTAATAATAATTATTGTGATCCAAAAAGCGATTGTGATGAGCAGCAACCACCAGTCCAAAATACAGAAGACAACCCGCCTGCAATAAACGCTACAAACATAAACGAAGGAAGCTATAGCTCAGATAAACAGCTCCCAGTTCAAAATAGTGAAATTAACCCATCTCCGATAAACGCTGCAAACATAAATAACGGAAGTTATATCTCGGATAAACAGCACTCAGTCCAAAAAAGAGAAGCTAACCTACCTCGGATGAACGGAAAAAACATAAATAAAAAAAACTATAGAATAAATAAGCAGAATTTAACCCTAAAAGAAGATTACGTGGATAACCTTAGCATATCAACGGAATTATTTTACGACACCAATAAAAATGAAACAAACAAACCACGAGTATGGCAAAAATTGTTCCAAAAAGAAATCATCAAAAATGGTGAAGGGCGTGGAAATCGTGACGACGACAAAAACAATAGCGAAGGAAACTTAGACTACTCCTATTACTTGAATAGATATTTCACAAACAACGGCAATCAATCCGATATCGACTATATTGACAACAATAATAGAACTAAAGATAGCTACATTCCCTCCCATTTAGAATTCAAAAACAATAATGACAGTGGCGTGGTCTTATTATTTTAATGACACAGTAAAATTTTTCAACACCCGCCCACCCGCCCTCCTTTTTATATTAACACAAAACATAAAAAGTTAAGTATAATATAATTAAAATAAATAAGTATCTTATACCTGCTCAGCCAAAAACACCAACATTCAACACCCACCCACCCTTTTTTTCGTGACGCAGCTGCGTCAATTTAACTCCGTTCACGCCGCCACTGTACGGTCAAAACAACAGTCATGTAAATGGTCACATAATCGGTCACCCCTACAGCGACCTAAATACTCACAGAAATGTTTTCAATCATGGTCAAGACAACGGCTATAACAAGAATGATAATTACAAACTAGAACAAGGTAAACAAATTAGAAAAATACAAACCAGTGGAAGACAGACTAGTGGAAAACAAACCCGTGGACATCAAACTAGCAAAAATATTAAAAATGCTAACGCAAAATAGGAAATACATGTCCTTGGCTTTCATTAATTTAATGGACCTATAAGTTTTTTTTTGTTTTTTTCTGATGATTTTCAATGTTTTGTGAAATTATTCTTGTATCTGTAATTATAATAATAATTATATTTTTAGTGAAGTACTCTATGGTTTTTATTATTTGTCAATGATTTCTTCATGTGTATCAGAAATGATCTGCAAAAATAGTTTCAATCTATAAAAAAAGAAAAGCAATGTATATAGGATTGAAGAAAATTACACATCTAACCAAAAGCTATCTATATTATAAGTTTTACAACAATGTTAATATATTTTATTTTCGATTTTGCTCCCGTAAAATATTTTAACTACTATCGAATAATAAGTTAGATCACGATTGAAAAGTTAAAAAACTTATAAAAAATTACTAAAATAATTTTTTTATTATATCAAAACATGTTTTTAATCCAAAACATATCTGAAAATAAAAAGAACAACAAAACAACATTCAAAAAAGTATCGAGCTTCATTTAGTGTGGTTTTTCGAAAGCAATAATGTGAATATTACCTATTGATTTAAATATCTAAAAATAGCTAAATAAACATTTGGTACCTCCATTTTATTAGATTCCAGATTTTTAATAAATAGATTCAAAACATAATAATTTAACCTGTTTAATAATTGTTATAATAACTATTATAAAATGCTGTTAATTTAATTTAACGTAAATACTATGCTGATATGAGTGAAATCGAAACATTATACTTGTGAAATTAAAGGGTAGAACTAAACAGTTGCAACATTAAAATATAAATAATTCTTTAATTTCAGTACACAATTATAATAAATAGTATTTTTACGATTTTAAATTATAAATTATTTTAAATTATAACAAGTTTTAATACTTGCTAAGATGAATTTCCCTGACTCAGAATTTCTGGGGCTATCGTTTGTGTCCGAGTTTAGGTTTTTGTAATGCTGAAACTCTGATTTTGAATACATATTGTTTATATTTAAATACGATCCAATCACGCAGCATCAAATTCGGATTGGATAATATATACTTCATTAAGATTGTTTTTTGCATATATTATTTAGCTGGGCGTAATTCCTTGCCCGTGACAACCGAAATCTGTTTTGTTTTTATTAGATAACTCAAAAATGCAATATTCAAGTCAAGTATGAACCACGCTTTAGGTAAAAATTGTGCTACAAATGAGTTCAAAGTTCACTACTTACCTATTAAAAGACCGTGTGCGTGCTATACTATGACAATTATTTTTAGAAAAAAATATTTTACATAATTAGTAACCTAATGTGTGCAATATAAAATTTATATGAACGTTTTATTTGTTCATATTATCAATAAAAGTATTTGAAAATTGTATTTATTTAAGAGCAATGAAATAATGTATATTTCAATTTATGATATTTTTATTGAAATATTTCAATACACGGTCAAAAACACCGTGTATATGGATCCTTGTGAATATTTTCTAATGCGTGTAATTTAGGGTTTTAAACAAAAAACCGACTGGTTTAACGTATGTGTAATAACACAGATTATGTAAAATATATTTTAATTTTCATTCCGGTTTGTTCTCTATGTAAGGACAATTATAAGATAATCACGCTTCCACTAAATTTATACGACAAAGCCGAATACCTGTAGCTTTATTTTTATAACTACAAATAATATAAATCTAATAACTTCACCATAAAATATGATAATATTATGTGTGTACAGGGGTGGATAAAAGGGAGGCCTATGGGTACTAAAGTTCCTCCCTTCACACGTGTAGGTACTTGGAAAATAGGACTTATACTACAATATAAAATAAATTGTAACTTATATCAAAAATACATTATTAAAACAAATGAATAGTGAATTTTTATTTTAGCTCCTCCCTTATCTACTTCCTAGATCCGCACCTGTTTGTGTATAATATGTTTGGTGATACCAAGCTAAGGAAACTGAAGTTAGATAATATAAATACACGATATACAATTATAATACTTTAGGGTACTATCGGATTTGTAGAAAATACTTTAGGGCAGTGCCGGATTAAGAGGTCTGGAGGCCTCGGGGCAACAAAGGAGTGGAGGCCCCCTGGCCCCAAATTATTTTCCAAATAAAATAAACAATTTTTTTCAGTCGAGTTTTTCAATAAATAATTTATTGTGAAACCAAGTAGATTCTTTTAATATTTAAAAAAACACATATAAACATAATCAGAAACAAGAATTATCTGAAATTAATTTTTAGTGTTAACGAACGGAAACTTCCGAGCTTGTTTTGCCGAAAAACCGTTGACGAGTCCGCTAAAAATCCAGTTCCCTGCTTGCGATTTCCTCACCCGAGAGCCACTAGCAAAACCTCGAGTTTTGTCACGATCACTTGTGTTTCCGTTATAAAGTAATCTCGCGTACTAATTGTGGATATGAGTGTGTACACCATTGACCATTGTGTCTGTGTGTTGGAGAGTTGGACTGTGAAAGGCACGAGTGCGCGACAACCGCAGTATAAAAAACTAAATATAATATAATTATTCGTTGGTGTATCGTAATAACTCGCTGGAAAAATCCATAGCTGTTGTTCGATCATTGAGTATTATTCATAATATGCAACCCGCATGTTTGAACTTTTGAAGACAAAATTAATCGTTGTCGGTGTCCCAAAGCTGTCACCCCGGTTGCCCTACCCTAAATCCGATCCTGCTTTAGGGTGCAGTGAGTCAAAAAAGGTTGGGAACCTTTGTGGTAGTGGGGCCAAGGAGGTCCTCTGACTCACAGTTTTGACGCCCCATTTCTACTTCCATCTAACAACATGGACATAGTTACAAGGCGCTAGTTGACGCAGTGGTACACAGTACCCCCTAAAAATTAATTAAATATTAATACGAATAAATACGTTTCATACATTTTCCCGTGTTCTTCCATTTTTTCCCCATTAATTGATGATAATCCTGGAAAAATCAAAAAATGACACCCCTAAAGTTCCTTCATAGTCAGATTTACTTTATGAAAAAGTGCCATCATTGAAAATCGAAGCAAAATTTCTGGTAGAAGTGCTTGAAAATTGGTTTACACGTTTTTGATTTTTAACACTACAATTCGATATAGGAATTTAATACTTATTGCATTATACCAAAATACTTATTTAAAAAGCAATTTAAGATAAGTATTTTTTTGATTAAAAAAAAAACTGCTATAATTCCCAACTACCCCAACTCTGGGTCAATTGTAACACACCTTAAAGACACATCATTTAATTTTAATTTTCAAATGATAAAACTGGTATAAAATTTATTAATCTACGTATGAAATTTTGAATACAGGTTGCTTTACAAAAATCAAAAGTGAGTATAGTGGTTTCGTCATCAAAAATAAGTGACAAAATGATGACAATTTAACATTTTAGAATACGTGATTCCAATGAATTTTTATGTAAATCATTCTTTTGAAAAATTAGTATTAACCACATAGAAATTGAACTCTAAAATGAAATTCGGAAGACCTTGCATGAATAAACGCATCAATTGACTTTCCATACTGTGTAGGTATAATGTTATAATTAATATTTTGTTATTTCAATACTAGGTTTATAATTTTTTTTTTTTTTTCAATCGACTCAATAGGTTTAGGTACCTACTGCAAAAACGAATTTTTCATATTTCATTATGTACGAATTTAGGTACAATTTATCATATAAAATTACGTGTAGTTTATTTATCACTAAAATAAGCCATAACAATCACAAAACCGTAAATTACAAGAGAAGTTTTTTGTTTTTATTCTACAGACACACCTTTTGTTCACGCGGTTTGTGTACTTACACGAATATCTCCCCAAAATCCATAACCTCGTTAAACATCACGGACTGTTACAAAATAACGTTTTATTTTTTTAAACATATTTTATTAAGTATAATGTTATAATGCATATAATTGCATATTTAGCCACTTATTTTATGTATATTTGCATCATATTTTACAGTTTTTAAATGCATATAATCCCGGGCTCTAGTTATTATTATTCCATATTTGTATTGGTTGTAAAACAGAAATAAAAAAAGAGCCAATACTTTGGATGGGAGCGGCACTGTTGTTAGGTGAGAAGTTGGAGAAAGGTAGGATACTTATGTATAAGGTTATTTAATTTATATCTGTAAGTAACGATAAACCATTACTTGACCAAAGACGATTCTGAACGCAGTTCGGTAATACATAAATTACAGTGCCGTGTATTTATTTTTTTTTTGCAATTTTCGTTTAAATTTAATTTCAAAACGTTTGTTAAAAAAAAAAATCGTCCGATGAATTTGAAAATTTTAAAACGTCTAAGTAAGTCCAATACGAGTATTATAACCAAGTTTCAAGTCTCTATGTGTATTGATAACTGAAGTACAACAAAAAAATCCCAAAAATTAAAATTAAAAAGTGTCTCAAAGGTTTTGGCGATGATACCGTAAGAAAGTAAATCAAAAAGATAACAAAAAAAAGGTATTATGTAATTTTTGGATTAAATTTTTGTTTATTCTTATCATTTATAAAAAAACTACTTTTGACCCCACTAGAGAGCCACTCACAATTTATTCGACACAAACATTATCGAAAACGATTAAAACTAACTCCTAAATAAAAACAATATTAAGTAATAATAATATTCAGAACCATAGATATATTAACTCATAAACATGTATTAACAAAAAATTAAAGAAAAAAATTAAATTTTAAGAAAAACTATTTTTGAAATTTGAAGGCTTTAGTAGGGCACAGGTTTAACTTAACCAATTGATTTGAAATTATGTAAATGTGTTTTTTTTTTTATGTATATTGGAGCTAATTTAAAGGGAATTAACAGAAAAATGTCAATATTGAAAAATAAATATCACCCTAATGCCTATAAATAAGAAAATATAAAACTCACAAAATATCATAACAAAATTTCACTAGTAATATCATAATAAATGCACAGTACACTGTATATTATGTTTACCTATTAAAAGCATATTTAATGTTAATAGTTTTCCTAAAAATAAATACACAAAATTCACTTACATTTCTAAATTTATTTTGGCCAAACAGGTATACAATTTAAATAATTTGCCCAAAACAATGCATATTAAACACAAAATTAGAAAATATATACATTAACAAGGACTTTTCTAAAATGTAAGAACTTATAAACCGCCCAGTAAACATCTATAATATTTTTTCATAAATATTAGAATTATAGGGTAAATAATAAATTATAAATACAATATACACAGGCTATATTCTTACGCTTTACCAAATTTCTTTGGTAAGTATTTATAATATTAGTAAAAAGATTTCCAACTATTGACTTATATTATTATGTCCTTACGTGTATACCTTTATTGATTCTATACTGCAAAATGTTTCCAGTGTTACTAGTATTCTAATATTTTTATAAATTGATAGTAAACAAGTTGACATTTAGTTATTTTCATATCAAGCACAGATCCCTAAATCTTAAAAAAAAAAAAACAATCAAGAAACAACAGCTTTTTAAAACCGCATTCATATCTCCACAGCACTTAGGACCGTTTATAATAGTAATTTAATTTTGCTTGAATGTTACATCCTGAGGGTTCGGTCTAGTAAGTATTCTTACATGTACAGTCAACAAAGTTTTTCGTTTAAATCATTTTTACAAACATCATTTAAAAGGTTTCTTAACAGTATGAATCCTTGTGTGAACCAACAAATTTGATTTATGTCTAAATAATTTTTTACATATCTCACATTTGTAGTGCTTTTCTTCTGTATGAATTAACTTATGACTCTTTAAATTAGGCAATTGAATAAATGATAATTTACAAATATCACATTTAAATGGTTTCTCTCCAGTATGAATCCTTGTGTGAGGCAATAAAACTGATTTCCGTCTAAATGATTTTTTACATACCTCACATTTAAATGGTTTCTCACCAGTATGAATTAACTTATGGTTATTTAAATGAGGCAACTGAATAAATGATAATTTACAAATATCACATTTGAATGGTTTCTCTCCAGTATGAATCCTTGTGTGAACCAATAAAGCTGATTTCTGTTTAAATGATTTTTTACACACCTCACATTTAAATGGTTTCTCACCAGTATGAATCCTTGTGTGTTCCGATAAATTTGATTTAAACCTAAATGATTTTTTACATACCTCACATTTGTAAAAATTTTCTTCTATATGAATTAATTTATGTTGCTTTAAACAGCCAAAACTAGAAAATGATATTCCACAAACATTACATTTAAATAGTTTCTCTTCTCTACAAATTAGTTTATGGTGATCTACATGGGACAATTGCAAAACGTCACAACTGTTTATTAAATCAGTTTCTTTCTTTATTTCAATTGTTTGGGTATTTGGTTTTTTAATTTCTTCATCAGAGGTACTCGTAAATCTGAAAAGCATAAAATTCATAATTTAAATTGAATACCTTATATGTGTTAACATTAGAAGTATATTAGAAGTATGAGACACATACATAGACTGTCCAATAAAGAAGGTTCAAAGTTATGTTTGGCATAAATAATGTATTACATTGATAGGCAATTACTGTTAGGTAATTAATTACATATTCTGAGTTTTATAACTATTACACTTTAATTTTTTATCAGCTATGGAATGATAACCATAGATAATTAATATTTATGTTTCACAAAAGAAGAAGCCCGCACCATCAATAGATTTTTTTCAATTTTAAAATAACTTTAATAACCCATTTTAAATAATCTCTCCTGTTAAAATAAATTATTTATATGTAAAAATTATACCTTTGAATGATGGTTAGGTGAAACTCTAGCCAATTCAACCTTTTGGAAATTTTTCAAAAGGTAGGAAACTTCAACAAAATTTAGGATTAAGGAAAAAAAAATTGTTTAATTTTGATTATTAATTATACAGTATAAAACATATGCAATATGGAATGGCAACATTTAAGGTTAATTTGGTTTTATCTTTTTTATTTTTATAATTAGAAACTATGAAGAAAGAATTTAAAGATGCTCACCGTAGAGGACAATTTTCATTGTCAACTTTTCTTCCAGTTTGCACTCTCATTTGGCATTTTGACATTGATTTTGAAAAAAACAAGTTATCATAATTATGAAATGTACATTGTTGTTTTCTAAGTTTTGATTTTTGATATAATATTGATTCTATAGGATCATTTTCAATAGCAATTACACTTTGAAACTCGTAACCATCTATTAAATCATATTCTTTTTTTATTTGAATTGTTTCGGTATTTGGATGTTTTTTTTCTTCTTTTAAGTTACTCATGAATCTGAAAAGTTTTAAAATCATAATAAATAGTTATTACCATAAAAAAAAAACACTAGAGCAGTGTCAGCCTAGCTAAGGCAGATAGCCCGTGAACGCAGCTGGGCCCCCAGTAGTATTTGTGTCTGGAAGTACCTCGAGGCTCAAGATCTACAAAATACCTTCATTTAGCCATTGACTGTTTTTTGTGCATTATTTAAATACACAAGTATAAATATACTACACTATAGTATTATTTAGACTTTAGTTAACGATGGTAAACTACAGACAAATAAGAAAAATATAATAATAAATTGTCAATTATTAAAAGTAATATATACTATACGTGGATAAGTCTTTGCGAAATCTGTTGTTATTTTTTAGAAATATGACCGGCTTTTAACCCAATATCGCATTGATATCCATGGCCTTTATATGTTTCATTTAAAATGTCCTTAAAAACAAAATGCTGCTGAGGTTTTTGTACGCCAGGTTGACCCTGTATTGGTTTATATTATGAAATATTTTATGTGGGCATTAAATATATATATTGTATGATGTAAATACCAAAAATATAATAAAAATCATCTTTGGTAAATAGTGAACAACACAAAATGATAGATAGTACACACCGGAGTAAACTATAACAAAATTGAATTTTTTTTTAAAATATAATTCAATGGTTATACTGATAAGCTACAATGAATTATAAACAGGGTATTTGACGGTATTCTGACAAAATGCAAATGAACAAGAATTGAAAGGTACAAAATGGAAACTTATAGTTTAAACAGTGGCAAAATAAAGAGGTACCTAAACCGATTTTAAAGACGCTTGTACATGTTATTGTTTGCATTGCAAATAAAAACAATACAATAAATCTATCGAAATTGTTTCAAAATTTTTATAACATTTAAATGTTTGAGTTTACATAAATAGTAGTAGTATGTAAATAAAATAAATTATAAATACACCGTTGTTTTACTCAAAAGAATAATTTCTTTTCAATTTATCACACAATGGTAAACGTTAACATTTAGGAACCAGGGTTTTAGTGTTTAAAATATTTTACATTTACCAAAACCTAATTACATTGAAATAGTTATTGAATAAGACATTTGCTCACCGTAAACTGGTTGAAGAATATTCGATACCTTGACCAACGTCCATAATAAATAATTAATACGTCGGCTTGCTAATTGTGTTTTGTCGCCGTGGTCTGTGACCGCTGTGAAATCGGTAGGCATTTAAACGAATTGATAGAAATCAAATAGTGTCACGCCGTCAATCATAAGCACCGATAGAAATTAACCGCGGGTATAATAAAAGAAAAAAGTATTATAAACATAAATTGTTATTTATTTTAATACGCAATTACGTCGTCGGGACACTGCGATTATCAGAATGCCGGTTCCGAATTCCGATACGGTTTCGACGCGCATTTGGGTTACGCCGGACGGGTTCGGGTTCGTCGCGAAGATGCCGTCGGCGTGACGGCATTGTTCTTTTTAGTACCGAAATTCTCCGGCGGCATCAAAAGATAGCCTTATCGCTCACGGTGTTTCCGAGTATGTTGATAAGGATATGGCGGACTGGGCGCGTTCGCGTTCCGTACGACCGTGTACTACAGTCTCATTGTTTTAACGGCGATAGCCGATAACGGTTTTAATATTTAATTATTATTATCGGGGCTAGGATTTATACGCAACGGCGTGTTTTTTTTTTTTTGCGACATCTGATTATTGATTTTGTCAGTAATCTCCACGAATCACATCGTGATTTGATAAGCGGCGGTGTTTTTGTTTTGCACGTTTTTGATAAAATGCATATTGTTGCATGTATTGAATAAAACGAATGTTATTGCGCATTTCGATTACAATAATGCGAAAAATGCGTGTTTCGCAGTACATTTCGTATTTAATTCTAGCCCTGTTGATTAAAATATAAAATTTGATTTTTTTGTTAAACATAAATTTGATTTTTATAAATACGATTCTATGGTACGATAGGTATGCGATGAAAGATTAAATGGTTGGACGGAGAAAGACTTCATGAAAGTCTACAGATTATAAAAAAAATTCTAGGAATCAAATTCTTGAGTGTAACGGAAAAGTCGCAGATAAAGTTAAAAACAATATATCTCTGGTTTTACAATAAAACAAAGAATTTGAAACTCTACAATCAATAAATAAAATATTAAATGGCGAATCGGACGAGGACAATTTCAGTTGTAATTAAACAACAGGACAAATTTCTTTATTTAAATATGCGCTGACTACATTACGCGACGTTGAACGGAGCTTCAGTCAATATAAATCAATACTACGATCCAATCGCCGATCATTTAAATTCGAGAATTTAAAAAAATATGTTGTCGTAGCATGTAACACACGTATTTCCACTATTGAATGTGAATTATAAATTTTATTTCCAAATTGTTTTATTTTATTTTATTTCTCAATAACATTACATCAAGACAAACAGCCAATCACTAATGTATTTCAATAAATGAATATTTTTTTTGTAACTATATTTTTGTGTTTACCTTACAAAAATTTAAACGCATATTTTTACATATTCTGGTAAACAAAATGCATATTTTACAATGTTTTATTGCATACAAATCCTAGCCCTGATTATTATTATTATAGTAGAGAAATTAATATTGTAAAATAATATCAGCTCGTTTTCAATTGTTATAATATCATGATAATCTAGAGCATATTATTATTTATTACATAGAATATTTTTAGTGTATCTTGCATTTATCTCAAGTAATACAATTTTCTTAATAAAAGTCTTATAAATAGCTATATATATATATATATATAATTACATAAAAGATACTATAAGGGTAGAAAACTTTGATAAAGTATATAGTTTAGTAATAAACAACAAAACGAGTTTCCGCTTTTCTTTTGTAACATTATAAAAAAGTAGAAAGAATGATCACATTGATAGGACAATTCAACAACAATAATACAAGAAATTGAAAAAAAAACATATAACTAGTATTACGCTTAATTTGAAAATTACCTAGAATGATGCAAATAACTGGAATGTAGACAGTGAACATACACCAAGTCAATCGTATGTAGTTGAACAAATTAATGAAGAAATATGTTGTGTGATAGTTTGTAGTATGTGTAAAATATGCATTCGTACATTTGAATGTACTTGTTTAGATTGCACCATAAAGTCAATTATTTGTAAACATATTCATACTATTGAACTGAATCGAGAAAGTTATACAACAAAAGTGGTAAAATCAGAATTAAATAATATAAATAAACATACACAAGTTACACAAGAAATAGAAATACATATGAAGACTTTAAATAACAAAAATGAAAATTAAAACTTATATGAAATATTTAAACTGGCACTCAACAATGGAATTATAAAATATGAAACTCTGATTTTAGAATTAAGCGCGTGCTCAGATGGTACACGGTTCAATTCTGTGTTTAGAACGTACTAGCCAACATGTCAAAAATAAAGTTATTCATAATTTGACTGCACTGAAAATTAGCACTAAGTTGCATAACTAAATTTAGAATTCGCACGAAATTATTTGACGAGTCTTTCAATGTATTTTAATTTTGCAATGGATGGAGTGTCCTGTGAATTTCGGGATAGTAATGCGATAATCTTATAATTAGAAGACTTTCGGGCTGTCACAATGGTAAAAACACCAAACAGGATTTTGCTCGTTGTATAATTTCTTTAGAATTCTAAATTTAATCATGCAAATTCATGATAATCGCGTGCTAATTTTTAGTGTAGTAATTATTAGTAATTATGAATAACTTCATTTTCTACATGTTTCTTTAGGCGGGGCTAATGTTATAAAACACAAAATTGTGTACTTTGTAGTATCCTGTCAATGGGAATCTATTATAATCAATAGTATAGGTAATAATCAGTAATGTAATTTGTGAACACAAGGTGAAAAGGTGTAAAAGGTGAAAAAGACATATACAAATTATTTTTTTTCTTATAGCACCACATTGGTTCACTATAATATATTTGCTTCATTAAAATCTGTACAACACACACAGTATCTAATATTATAATACAATATGTTAGATTTAACAATACATTTCACTAAAATATTTACAGTAAATGCATAACAAGGATAAATTAAGACTTTTCAAAATAATAATAACTACAATATTATTATAAATCATCTCTGTATAAGAGGTATGTATAATAAAGAATATAATATAATATTTAATTAATTTTTTTTTTCACACATAATTTAATTGTTTATATTATTATTATTTTTTTTTTCGATTATTAGCAAATATCACAATATAAATAGGGAGTGGGCAAAATTTGTATCTCGGGCACCCAACATTTCTAGAAAAGTTTGATTCTTAAACATTTTATATCCCTAACCGCAATAATTGGCATATATATATATATTTATTATTTATGAATATATTAATGGTAATGCAAATGCGGCGACGGGCAAAGGCGCTCATCTCGAATAAAAGACATAACACTTATATATTTATCATTTTAGAAACTGAACAATGAAGAAAAATACTTACACACTATCGTTACAATACAAATGCGCTGTTTCGATGAATAGTAAATTAATATTATACTGAGGAATATTTACAGAAATAACACACGTGTTGTTCGAAAGCAAATAAGTATACAACAACATAATATATCAAGCTGAAGCAACAGTGAGGCGGAAATTAGACATGAAGCGTTCTGATTAGAGATCTAAGTTTAACTATAAAATTGTAATTTTTTTTTTTTTTTTTTTTTTTGTTTCAGTCAAATGTTTTCTTTTAATTTTTATACACACACACATCCATCACACTTGGGCACATCATATGGACACCATAAAAATATTGATTATTTTTCTTTCCTTTTAAAATAATATTAATTTGTTTATTATATATAAATAATAAATATTAGTCTTCCAGGGTTTCTTTGAGCGCGCGCAACTGCTCCTCGCCCAGCTGTATTTTGTCCGTAATCTCTCTGGCATCGATTAGCAATTTGGCTTTCATCGCTATGAAATGATCGTAGTCCGAGTACTCGTCGGCCGTCAGGTAACGGTACAGTATAGTGGACACAAAGTCACCGCGTCGGTCGATGTTGTCCTTCAGTTCCTTGGCCTCTTCCAGTTGGCACGTGAGTTTAGATTTTTTCTCCTCCAGAGCCTTCTAAAACAACAACAATAACCAATATAATATAATGTTATTATTTCGTTACCTAGGTATATACTATGTAAATGAGTAAATGAGTTTATCACGCCTAATCTCGAAAACTATTGAACATATTTGAGTGTAGGCCACTCTTTTCACATCCCGACCGGATAATATTTTCCGTTTACCTTTTCGGAATGATCGACTCCCAGATCGAGCAGAGCGTTTTCTGCTCTAGCCAGCCGCCCGCTGAGGCTCAGCAACAGGCTAGTGATGTGGCCCACCTCTTGTACGTGGGTCTTGAACTTGTTGGCCTCCTGGAGTTTGGCTACGGCCTTCACCCGGTCGGCTACCGATTCGCCCAAAGTCTCGTTCACAGCCGTCTCCTCGGCCACCGCTATTTGTTCGTCCCGTAACACCTTAAGCTTCCGGTCTAACCGGGACACGAGATCCGCCTGGAAACCGTGAAAATCGGAATTAGTAATTATTGTTATCATTAGTATTTTTTTTATTTTTTATAAACTTATAACGTTCGAAACACGCGTGCATTATATTATTATTGTTGCGTGTACTTCGGGGGGGTATACGTTATCGGTTTACACTCGCCTTTTTTTTCTGCAAGTTGCCGATGCCGCCGTTGCACTCCGCCACCGGCTGCGATTGTCTCTGCCGTCCGTAGTAGTGGTTCAGGAGTTTCGCCTTGGGTTCGGACGTGGTATAGTACGACGAGTTGGGCGACAGACCGCCGTTCGAATCGCTGAGGAAAAAAAAAAATAATAAATACATGTACAGGCCTGTGCTGCAGTGTACAGCGTGTTACAAATGTGCGTACACATTATGATTTACAATATATTTATGTGCGCCTACATAAATACAACCGATGCAGTCGGTATTCGCGAGAAAAAAAAAACCCGCGACGACGCGTCGAACTAAAGCACGTAAGGATACGGGGAAAGGGTGGGGGGAGAGGAGGGGAAGGGCCAGTGCGGACGCGGGGGACTTCGTCGCGGCATTGGGAGCGAGCCGACCGATATTATTAATTACTTGTGTACGATGTCCTCGTGCGTTCGCAGCGCGCGCCCGCTCCCGGTGGCCTGGTTAAATGGAAATTATGTCATTTTCTCGCGAACCGGTGACATTTACGCACGACTCGCGCGAAAATTACCAAAACACATTGCGCTAATAGCGCGCCGCACTAGCGCAAGACCGGACACTCTACGATACGACGTTGGACGATGGACTTGTGATTTTCAATTACGTACTAAAACCCGCGGGGAAAAAAACGATTTTTTTTTTTTAATTAGCGACAAAAATTGATTTCGTAAATAAACACGCAAACACAATATTTGTGTGTAAAAATAAAAAAAAATAAAATAAAAAATAAATGAATAAATGCGTCACCTGGAGTGTTATGATCAGAGTATTATACGACCGGTTTCGAATTGAAAATTCGTCATCGGGTAATGCACAAGACTAAAGTCTTAGTTT